CTTGGGGTTCAGGACTCTTATGGGGCAGGAGAAGGAATTAGAGCCAGGCATGTCTTAATGCGGTTAAGGGTGGAGTTGGTATGAGGGAGTGGTGAGCCTTTCTCCAGAATGCCCTTGAGCAGGAAATAGAAATTTTTCTTAAAATGGTGGCTGTCACTTAAGACGGCCATCCAGATGCTAAGCAAGGACCTTACAATTAGTTTATTAGGCATTCTATGGCATACATTCCCTAGTTCTACCATTTATAAGTATAGCTATCACTGGAGAGAAAAATGTTTAATATTGCTGAGTGTATTAAAATATGCACATTTTTATTCGCAAACTGATGCTCAAATATCAGTGAAATTAGATTATACCTCAGACTAGAAATGAGTTATAGCCAGAGAATCAAAGAATTTTAGAGCTATTGAGATTTCATACCATCCAGTAGAACTTCCTGTTTTTTTGAAGACAAAAATACATTACTGTTAAGACTATAAAATAACACAGCATTTAAGGAAGCTTCATTTTGGGGAGGAAAAAAAAGTTTAATTATAAAATCAAATCATTATTTTATAATGTAACTACTAGTGGATATACCTGCTTAACATAAAATGTAAAATCATAGAACATGCCCTTTTTCTCAGAACAAAGTTGCTACACTGTTAGTGATGGGAGGAAAGATGGGGAAGAGAAAGATGTTATGGAGTAGCTTATGGTTTATCTCCATTAAACTGTTTAATCTTTCCCCCCCAAAAAAAAAAGTATTAACACCCTTTATGAGATAAAAAGAACAGGTTTGAAAAGTTGTCGATAATCACACAGAAAATGAGCTATAGTTCTAGAATTAGACAACAAATCTGTTTAACATCTTCCACTGCCTCACATTCAGTAAATAATACTTAAGGAAACATTCTTCATATAAAAAACATCATTGTAAATATTGAGAAAATAAAGTATTGAACAAAAGGTAAATAAGAACATTTCTAACTTTACTGTTAAATTTATGAAAAACAGACAATAATTATTAGCTAAATGGACAAATCTTTCTTTTTTTTTTCGGGGGGGGGGGGGGGGCGGTGGTGAGGGGACCGAGGATTGAACTGAGAGGTGCTTTGCCACTGAGCTAAATCCCATCTTTTTTATATTTTGAGACAGGGTCTTGATAAGTTACTTGCTCAGGGCCTTTCTAAATTGCTGAGAGTAGCCTCAAACTTGTGGTACTCCTTCCTTAAGCTACTGCATTGCTGAGATTATGCCACCATGCCTAGCACACAATTTACAGTGGTTAAAAAATTATCCAAATGCCAGTTCTTTTCCTGGATTCTCTTCTCTCCAGCTACACATTAGATTACTAGTTTCCCCAATATTTTAAGTTCTTCACTAGTAAAACAAACAAAATTTAAGGAGGAAAAATCATAGGACAGCATGTTTTCCAGTCATCATACACTACCAATTTCTAACTTCAGCTCAGGGAAACAATTCTTGCTTGTACTAACTCAGTTCATCTTCCACAGTGGCTATTCCAAATCTCTATTGTTCTCCTGAATCTCTTCTCACATCAGCTGACCTTTATTGCTATCCACCTCTTAGAGACCATAGCTTTCAACTTTCATCTACCATCCAATGTACAAATACAAAATCCATTCTCACTTTACCTTTCTCAGTGCACCTCCTTTTATCAACTCTAGCACACTGCCAAGGAATACAGCTCGCACTTAAATGATAATTGTTAAAGGTAATGAATTAATCCAAGACCAATTCACACTGCTCATGCCATCTCTCCCTAAATTGTCAGGGACCTCTACCAGCTCTTTCCTCCTCCTTCATCTTCAAACATTTCCTCTTTTTGGCTCTTTCCCTGTTAGCTTATAAATCCTCCCTGCCACCAAAAAAAAAAAAAAAACAACAAGCCCAGGAACCATTTTTAGCTACTATCTTCTTCTCCTCATAGCCAAGTGACTGGAAATTTTGTATTAAGGAAGAACTGTCACATTGGATAAAGATATAAGACTTTAAAAAAAAAAAATCTTGAACTTCTTTTAATATTTATTTTTTAGTTGTAGTTGGACACAATACCTTTATTTTATTTATTTTTATGTGGTGCTGAGGATCAAACCCAGGGCCTCGCATGTGCCTAGGCAAGCACTCTACCACTAAGCCACAACTCCAGCCAGAATCTTGAACTTTTGAAGAGACATATTTAAATATTATGGATAAAAAGAAAAGCTGAGGGCTGGGATTGTGGCTCAGTGGTAGGTGCGGGTTTGATTCTTAGCACCGCATGTAAATAAACAAAGTCCATTGACACCTTTAAAAAAATTTAAAAAAAAAAAAGATAAACTTGAGTTTAACTTCAAAATAACCCAGTTGGGGGGAAGGCTTACAGATGAAATAAAACAGGCCAAGCCAGGTTTAACATTTTTAAAGAAGAAATGCTTACTGATCTTCACAACTTTTTAAATGATTTCTATCCACTAATTCTCTTGGACACTGCCCAGTGCTTACCGGCTCTCTGCACCACTCTGCTTCCTCCCTTCCTTCCTCCCCTAGGTTGTTTGCTGAGCTTTCTACCAGTTCCTCCTCTCCGCCTCCTAACTTCTTCAGTCCCATCTGCGCACTCTTCTCCACTTCTTCTCCAACATGACCCCCTCCTCCAAACACACACACACACACACTTTAAATGATGTGCTTTCAGAGAGTTCCATATTCAAACTTCTTGCTTTTTTTCATTTCTTCTCATTCCTTCTCAGTGAGCTGATCATTCTCTTCTGCAATACTTGAACCACTTTATCTGTATGTAAACCTCCATATCCAGCACTGATCTCTCTCAACTCCTGACCCAAAAGCATCTCCACCCAAATGTCTCACAGGAACCTGAGCAAACATTCAAAACCAAACTTATTTTTATCTTTCATCTCAACAAAAACCTGTTCCTCCTCATTTCAATCAAAAGTTTCAGTATTCTCAGTCACCCTAGCCAGAAACCCAGGCATCGTATGTCTTAGGGTTCCAAATCATTCTAGCTCCCAACATTCAAAGCCTTAAGTCATATCAAATTTACTTCTTATATTTTATTTCTCAAAGTCATCTTTCTGTAACTCCAACTGCTTAGTTCAGGCTCTTTTCGTTTCTCTACTGGACCTTTTTAATTTTCTACAATTGGTTTCCCTACCACCACTCTAACCTTTCCTCTAAGTCCATTCTCCACACTGCAGCTGAAGTTATTTTTCTAATACAAACCCAATAAACTGCTACTTTGCTGGAAATTCTTCAATGGTTGCCCCATGTTAAGAAAAGTTCTAAACTCTGATCATGGTACCAAGTACTTTAAGATCTGACTTCCCACAATACACTGCAAGGATTCTAGGATCCAGTCATATAGAACTACTGAAGGCTCCCCAAATACAAAATGCTCACTCCTAAATCTATCCTTTGTTCATATTATGCCATTTGCTTACAATGACATTCCTCATCCTCTCTCTCCAATGAAACTTATCCAACTTTCTTAACACAAGACAAATCACTTAATGCCAAAGACCTCCCCTGACCTCATTAGACAGAGTCATGATCTTTCTACTAATTAGGGGAGAAAATGCCATCAGTGGTTGAGATTATGACTTACATCATGAGTTAGACCCACCTGGGCTCACTTTACCAAATAAGACTTTAGGCAAAATCTCTAAGCCCATTTCCTCATCTCTAAATAACAGTAGTTAACTACTTCGCTCATTTGTTATGAGGAATAAATAAGGACTACCTGCAAATAACCCTGCACAGAGCTTCTCACACAGACTCAGTTTAACAAAAGTTAATGTTGTATGATTATTCCCACTGAATTTATTAGTGTTAAATTAATAGCAACTTGCATCTACCACACTACTGAGATTACATAAGTGTCCATGCCTGACACTGGCAATCTACTATTTATCTCTTCATTCTCACCACTTGACATAATATATGGCAAATAGGTTATTGACAAACTGAGTGAACAAAACAAAATACTTCAAATCCCTATACCATGTAAGGTCCTTTTTTCCCTTAGTGGTCTTATGAAACCTACTTCTGTCTCCAAGTACATAAAATTGCTCCTTTAAGTGAAATTTATAGAGGTCAGCATTTTAATTGAGAGAAAAAAATTTGTAGTGTTCCTAATCTTATGTTTCTTGAAACTTAAAAAAAAATATACACACAAAAATAAACTCACAATACTAACAACAATTTCCCAACTCACTCCATAAAATACCAATATCTAGGTTATCTACCTTTTGAAATTTTTTAAAACAGTCAAGGTAGGTTTTTTAAATCTGTCAGCTTCCTTACCACCAGTCCTTGAGTCTTGTAACTAAGATGTATTCTGTAGCATTTAAAAAAAAAATGGCATTTTTCATTTTAAAAACATGCTCCTTAGGAATTCTGAAAAACACTGCAACAGTCAAAGAAAACAATTACTTCTCCCCCCTACTTTGAAAGAAAAAAAAAAGGCAGTGCTTTAAACGTTACTAGTAATTTAAAACTAAACTAGTCTTCAAAATATGTGTAGGCAGGGTTCAAACTAGTGGGGAAGGGAGCCGGGGAGGACTCATTTCACAACCTTGAACCTCTACAGATAAAATGCAGAATTGCAAAACGGTAAAACACCAGATACTCCATATGACAGCAATGTTGTCTTTTATCCACGTTCACACTCATCATTTAAACATAATTGCCCTTTGAGAAATAGAGGGGTTTAAAATAAGTATGGTTAAATAGCTACAAATAAACGTATCTGGGAAAGGAGAAAAGTCTGTTAAATTTCGGTCTCTCTGGTCTCACGCCAAATTCGTGCCATACATACGGTTCAGAACCGAGAGACAGCAACCTGGGAGGGTCAGAGGTTCGGGAGGCGCGGAAGGCCCGAGGCCCTGCATCTGGGGCGGCTGCTCCTCCCGGAGCCTAAGCAGGGCGGTGGCCCGATGGGGTGGGGCTGGGCGCTGCAGCCCCGGCAGGCCAAACCACAGGGCGGGAAGCCCACGTCTCACCTCCACTTCCCTCTCCCAGCGCATAGAGCCCAGTTCCGCGACCACCCAAGAGCCCCCTCAAGACAAAGAGACACAGATTCGCCCTGTCCAGGTCCGCACAAGCTTAATCTGTCCTCCCTAGCGGTCGGGGCCGCCGGGCTTTGTAGTTCGCCGGGCCAAGTCGCCCCTCCACCGCCTTGAGCCCGGCGAGCCACCGAACTACAATCCCCACGATGCCCCGCGAGCCCCCGCGCTCGCGCTCCGCTCCCCTCCCCACGCGGCGGCCCGCGCCCCAGGCACCCTGCCGCTTACTACCCCGGCGTCCTGGGCGGCGGGAGATAGGGCTGGGCTGTCAACTCGGGCGTCCCACCACCTGCTCTCCTGCTCTCTCGCGGATTCATTACCTAGGTGCTGCAAGCCGTAGGCCGTGGGTGATGTGGTCCAGGTGGGGTGGGGGTGGGGCGCAGGCCGCCGCCGCAGAATCCGTTAGTTCGCGACGTGCGTGAAAAGGCGGCGGCGGCGTACGGTTGCCATGACAGTCGCGCGGGGTGGGGGGGGCTCTGAGTTAGCTCTGGGAGGAGCCTGGACAGCCCGCCCAGAGGCGGGGGAAAGGCGGCGCGAGCGCGCACCCTGGGAGATGGCTGGCTGAGCTGGGCGGGCGGTGACTGAGGAGCCCGTGCCCGGGCCTCGGCGCGCTCCAGCTAGCTGCCTTCTGGGAGGAGCCTGTGGCGTCAGAGGACCTAGCGTCCCCGCGGGCGCCGCGCGGCTCAACTCTAGTTAAAAGGCCGCTGGTCGAGTTCCATCCCTCGCAGACCCTGCGCCCTTGGGATGTGTGGAACCTCAGCCTGTTCTGTTGGCGCTTTTCATCAGTCAAATCGAATTTGCAGTCTTTCCCACATCCCCTTTCTGCCATTCTCCGGGGAGTAGGGTAGAAAGCAATCATTCGGTATGATGGAACGCATACTTGGCCTTTAGAATGGTTCAGGTTTTAGCACTTGCAGATGGCATTGCTCTCTACTGATTTGGGAGCTATGATATACATTAGGCAATCGTATGTGGACTCTGCGGGATCGTCAGTGTAGTAAAATGAGGTTAAGAGCGTAGGCATCTAAAATTGATTCTTGGTTCCCTTACTGCCGCTTCACTCACCTGACCTAAACTTCTTGGGTGCAAAATGGAAATACCTGCCTTACAGTTCATGTGAGAAAGAAACGCGTTATTGCGAATGAAGCAGTATAAAGCAAAGCCTGGCGTCCAACAGTTGCTATCAAATATTAGTTATTTAATTCATCGTGGTAAAAGTCAGATTGGTTGGTTGGCTGGCTGCAACAGGAGGGGTTTAGCTAAGGAGGGAATTTGCCTTAGTAATGATAAAACTCTGTATCAGGATGAGGTTGTAGCTCAGTTGGTAGAGTGCTTGCCCGGTATGCCCAAATCCCTGGTCTAAATCCTTGATAGCACCAAAATAAAAAGGAAAGAAATGGAAAAGCAGCTCTATATCTTAGTAAGGGTTTGGTTGTAGAATTATCTGCAGTTGTCAGAATTTGGAATGGCACCTTAAGATTTGTATAGTTTTGCTGTATGCAAATTTACCTCAAAAGGAACATAAACATTTATTGTTAGAGCTCTAAAAAAAAAGAGAGAGAGATTCTAGGCCCAATATGCAGATTTTATAGAGAAGGAAAGTGAAGCCTAGAGATTTCATAGGAAAAATGGAGAGGAGTGGAGAGTGAATTGTGGCCTTGTCATTTTCTGATAATAAATGTCTTTTAAATTATGGTCAAAAATAGCAAGCTACTGTGTTGTTAGTTAGGGTCACTCTGTCCCAGAGATTCTGTTGAAATTGACTCATCTCTGTGGAGAGACCAATGTCCTCTTTATGATTGAACGTTATGATTGCACACTCCCTGGGGCCATACAATCTCAGGGTCATTTCTGACTTTTGAGTTCTTGCTGTCTCTGAACACTTAGACTCTTTCACATGTCACCTGCAACTCTTTTCTATTTCTGCTGTCACATAATGTGGAAATCAACCCCTTCTCTTTTAGTCGTTTCTATAGTACACTCTTCTGAAGGTTTGGAGCAGCTGAGGGGTTTTAAATGAAGGACACAGAAAAACTAAAATTATAATTCCCTTTTCTTAAGAGTCCTTCACTTCCCCCAGGCATTTTTATCCACCAACTCTATGTCTTCCGTATAAGCTGCAACTTCCCACTGTTCATAATCTCTCTGCTCCCATCTCGCCTCATCTTTTCACAGTACTTTTAGTTTCTCCATCTCCTAATCGATGCCTTCAAAATTACCTATAATTACTAAAATATTTGCCAGTTTTTTCCTATGCAAAGAAAGCATCTTCTCCATGAAAAACTCTGGTGCCAGCTATTAAAATATTTATTCATCACAGTATATATCTCCATATTCTATTTGATTCAGTCCACAAGGTAGTTAATAAATATTAAACAGTATAAAGCAAAGCCTGGCATCCATGTGTGACCTGTCCAGGATATCTTCATAAGTTCAGTTATGAAAAAACATTTTATTATGCCCATAAAGGTGGTTTACTCTATTTAGTGTAAGTAAGAAAGCAGGTGATAATAATTGGAATCCATTATCTAGGAGAAAGAAACCAAATTCTAGGTAATTATAGCTTATATTTTGCAGAATAAATGACAAAATTTAAGTCATGAAGTCCAGAACAAAATCTGAGCATTAAGCCATGATGATATCCTGAAAGACTCGACACCTGGACTTCTCACCTATAGCACTTTGATCACAACTCTGCATACGTAATGAGCATATAAATAGATTCTCCTTTACTCCTGGATAAGATGATACTGATCTGCTACCAGCTGAACACATGTTCTTGTAGTAGGGATGATAGGTTCACCTGATCCATCTCTCCCTCATCTGGTTTCCCTTGTGACCAGTCACTTGTCTCTGCAAGGCAGCAGGCCAGAGTTGTAGGGCTGTCTGCAGCCATGAAGAAGTCTCCAAATGTAAGGTCCCAATGCATAACCCTCCTTAGTTTTTGATGTCAGAATTCCAGAGAATCAGTTTGGCAGGACAAGCCACTTGAGAATAGATGACAGCAAAGAAAGCAAACAGCTGCTCTGTAGTGAGTTGGAGGTGGCAGTCACGCAAGGGAAGACCATGAGCCACTGAAGCACAGCTATAAAACTCCTCACAGGCCAGGAACACCTGTGAAAGAATAAGGATCAACAAGAAACTATTATTTTTCACTGGACACTTTGGACCCATTCAAGTGATAGTTTAATGCACTGAACAAACCTAAAAAAAATGAAGCCGAAAGTAGCAAGAGATTAATACACACAGGCCATGTGGTCAAAAGCCCCACTCTCATTAAAGAGACAGTGCTTCTGGTCCAAGGTCAGATGTTTTTCCTGGGTTCTCAGCGTTGGCCTCAGTAGCAATTGATGTTTTGATCACCCTTACTGGTGGTCTGTGACCTTGGTTCTCATCAAAGCTTTCCAACCATCCCTCGGTGTATTATTCACCAGCTCCTCTACCAGCTCCCAAGGTTCAGTCTCTACACCCTCTGCATTTCCAAGTTCACCTCAGCTCTAGTTGAAGCTCAGATTGCTATTGCTTGTTCTGAGCCCCAAATCTCAGTAATCCAGCAAGCAGGCCTTGTGCTCCTTTACCTGGTTCTATTGCTTCAGTTGTTCTCTTCCCTTGAGAAGCCATTCCCTTACCCTATCTAAATTCTACCTGGTCTACAAAAACTAACTCAGGCTTTTACATGAAATCTTTCCAGATTATTTCTGCTCATAATCATATCCCCCTGCTCTGTACTCATAATATTTCCTGCCTGTATCACTCACTTAACAACTGGCCATACTGCCTAGGGTAGCTCATCTAGTTAGTTTTTGTCCTTTTCTCCTCACTATATCTCAAACTCTGCAATGTGCATTTTTGCATCTTTATAATACCATATATAAATAATATATGCATATATAAAATAAGAACACAATAAATATTTTGATAGGTGGTTCCTTAACTTTTATCCTCTAGTACGTCCTTCTGGTACTACTGCAGTCTCCCCTTATCTGCAGGAGATATGTTCAAAGATCCCAATGAATGCCTGAAACCACAGATAGGAAAAACCATTATACATAGGGTACTGTGTGTCTGTGTGTATATGTGTGTGTGTGTGTGTGTACCTACGATAAAGTTTCATTTGTAAATTAGGCATAGTGTTAAAATAACAATAACTAATAATATAATAATTATAATAATGCAGTGTATTAAGAGTTGTTTAAAATTAGAAAGTTTGTGGGATTTTCCATTTAATATTTTGGAACCATGGTTGATCAGGGTAACTGGGACTGGAAAGCAAAACCAGGGATGAGGGGGCACTACTGTATACAGAATATTTGCAAACCCTCAATAAAAATATTCCTGAATCATATGGAGGTGTGGGTCCCTGCAGTTTTGTAGCAGGGTCCCTTGCAAGGAGATTCCCATAAGTCACTGTTGCTCTGGGAGAAGTCAGTGCCAGTGCTCAGCTCCATTGTCCTTGAAGGCCTCCTAAAGCAGAGCTTTCTTCGCTGGCTCATAGCCCACTAGTAGGTCATGAAATCACTTTGATAGAGCTCTCCCAGCTTTTTAATATTTCAAACGTGATAAGGTAACGCAGGATAAAGTAAAACAGAAAATGCTATGAAAAAAATCTAGAGTATATGTGTACAGTTACAGTGAAGTATAGTCTGGCAAGCACTGAGCTGTTGTCTTTTAGCTTCAGAACTACCCTCTCCTCTGCTTGATGTTGGTGGGGCTGAAACTGGGCTAACCACACCTCTACTTTGTTAAGTGGCCAGGGGAGGCACTGGAGAAAGCAAGGCAAGGAGGAGCCAGGACAGCTTGCTCTTCCTGTTGCATTTACTGTGCATTGTCCCAGCAATGGCCTTTAGTGCCCCCTGCATTGTATCCCTTCTCCCTTTGTCCCAGAGTTAATAGCTCAGCCTGGAAGTGTCCCTTTTCAAGGGTCCGAGTTCCAGCTCTATGGAGCCTCTCCTCCATGCTTCTGGCTTCTGGTAACTCTAACCTCCTCTCTGATTCCCAACCCTAGAGGATGTAGCTCTTCTTGCAGTTATTATTCTGTGCCTTAAAAATATTCCCAAACATCTGTTTAATCAATGCCTTACATTAAATTCTCTATGTTGAAATACTTCAGATTCTTCTTTCCTAATACACATTGTGAAGTAAAATATGTTTCCTACTGTGAATTCAGTCCAAAAGGCTTAAGAAACCCTGCCATAGAGGAATAGAGACCTCTTTAATAGACGCCCTAGTATCCAAGGGCCAGATCTAACCTATAGAGTCACTCTGAATTCCAGTCTCATGAAGAGCAAAGACCCAGTTCCATTACAGCAGATGCCACTATGGAACTCTAGGCCCAGTGTGGCCTGTAGGGACCACTGCCATTTCTTGCAGGTAATATGAGGAAATAATAGACAAGAAAAAGCTATGCAGAAACTTACACCTCATTCCTACATTTCTGCCTTACCCAGTCCAAATGAGACTTTTGCTCTATTTTGCTCCCAAACTTACTATATTTAGGCTTCCATCTCCCATTAGAAGCCAGCCTCACTTTAATCACATATTCCTAATGAAAAGAATGGCTCCACATTAAGAATTCAAAATATTTCTCATATATGCCAAAATAAGCAAAAAAAAAAAAAAAAAAAAAAACTCTCCTGGCAATAGTCTAAGGATTCTCCTTGCCTGTGATTTTGCATTTCTTTATGCTAGTTTAAAACTATGAACAGAAAAACCAGGACTTGAGGCTGCTAAGTGGATGGTAACACTCTCTGGAGTATTGTGGGCACATAACTCAATGCATAAAAATACAGTCAGCTGTGAGAGCTGGAGTAAAGGTATTTCCATTGAGCACTGCTGAAAGTCATTGGTATACTCTGCTAGAAACCAACAGACTAGCAACACTTCTTTCACCTAACCATTTAGGTCCTTCATTTAGTAGAGGAACCCATAACTAAATGTGAATTACTCAGGCAAATGTTGGCAAGAGTTACTTTGTTTGTGACATGCAGAGTATCTTGCAGTGAACTGAAAAGCATGTCACCTTCTGATTTATCCACTGATGCGTGTTACAGCGTAGGTGGCATGTCACAGAGGAAAAGCAGCTTGCGATCAGGTTTTCTATTCATAGAAGGCAGCAAGCACTGTGCCAAGCAAACCCAACCACAAAACATTTCAGATCTCAATGGAAGAAAAGAATGGTACAGCTGGGATTCCCCTTCCCCTTCTAGAAGATGCCAGCCATGCCAGAGGGGGCCTCCTATCCCTGTTATTCTGTCTTATTTTTCTTGGTCCTGCTTCACTTCAGCTAGAGAGAGAATTTAGAGTGGGTTTGGGGGAAAATTCCTTTTCCATTCCTTCTTCTCATTTCTCTGGTGCATTTTAGGTCTTCTTTGAGATTTATATGTGTAAACATTATAAAATCATAATTATCAGCTTACATGTGTCTCTCCCAAGTGGTTAACTATTGAATTAAACTGTTTCTCCCATTCTCATTTTCCTTGATATTTTCTCCTTATGTTCACCAGGCTGTCTTACTCCTGCCTCAAACCTTACCCCAAATTTTACATTTCAAAAAAATTCTCAGTGGCTAAAGAATTCTAGGAATACTTTTGTCTCGGTCCCCTGCAGACAGTTGTTCCCTGTTCTTACTCTGAAATTGCATTCCTATAATCCCAGGATGAAGCAGAAAGATCCCAAGTTCAAAGCTAGCCTCAGTAACTTAGTGAAACCATGTCTCAAAATAAAATATAAAAAGGACTAGGAGTATAGTTCAATGGTAAAGAACCCCTGAGTTCAATCCCTAGTACCTACCCTACACACACACACACACAAAGTCTATGAAATAAAGTAAGGACAACAATTAAGTTTCAGAAGAAACACTTGTTTCTTCCTTCTTGATCTGTGCCAGCACTTACACTTTCGTGACAGATAAGCATTTGAGATTTTTTTTTATATACCTTTATTTATTTATTTATTTATTTCTATGTGGTGGTGAGGCTCCAACCCAGGCCTCACATGTGCTAAGCAAGCATTCTACCACTGAGCCACAACCCCAGCCCCAAACATTTGAGACTTTTAACAACTAAAATATACAAAACATAGACTGCAGATGTAGCTCCATGGTAGAGGTCTTGCTTAGCATGAGTGAAGTGACGCCCTGGGTTTACCTCCTAAAGAAAAGAAAACACACAATTTCAGAGAGTTGCATAACCAAATCCACCACACTCTGATTTTGATGTTATTTGGGGAATGCATTTTGTTATTATTATTAATATTAGCAAATTATTATTATTAGCAAACCCAACCACAAAACCACAAAATATCTGCTATATTATAAGCATCAAATAATATTGTGTGTTTTTAAGCTTTATATAAATGTTATTATACTGTGCTTTTTTGGGTGAGGGTGGGGGTGATACCGGGGATTGAACTCAACCACTGAGCCACATCCCCAGCCCTATTTCTTATTTTATTTAGAGACAGTGTTTCACCGAGTTGCTTAGCACCTCTCTTTTGCTGAGGCTGACTCTAAACTCACAATCCCCCGCCTTCACCTCTAGGCATGCGCCACCGAGCCGGCTATACTATGCCTTCTCAAGATGGCCTTTTTGTTGTTGTTGAACATTGTGTTTCTGAGACTTATCCATATTGTAAATGTAGATTTAGCACATTAATTTTAATTTCTGTAACCATATAATAGGATCCATTTATGTTCAAGGTTATTATGGATAGGTAAGGACTGCTGCCATTTTTTAAAATTGTTTTCTAATTGTCTTGCAGATCCTTTATTACTTTCTTCCTGTGCATTTTGTGTGTGTGTGTGTGTCTATATGTCATAAGTTTTTGCCTTGTGCTTACCATGAGGTTATTATATTTAATAACTTTGACTTTCAGCCTTCGTACTGAAGTTAAAAGTGATTTACACACCACCACTACAGTATTAGAGTAATTCAATTTGAGTGTGTACTTACTTTCACCAGCGAGTTTCAGATGTTTTCATGTTACTTATTAGCATTCTTGCCTGTAGCTTCAAAAACTCACCCCATTTCCTATTGATGGATATTTGACTTGCTCCATGCTAGCTATTAGTCAGAGGTTGAATTCAGTTCTTTGCTAAAGGAGCCTCTGCAGAGGGCATTTTATAAGATGCCAACTTGCTTTACCAAAGCCACAAGGAATAATACTAACAAGACAGAAGCCAGGATCTTAAATAATCTGTTCATGCAATTGTCAGTGTTTGCAAATTCTATTGGTTAGAGAGTAGACACAGGTCCAAGTCATACACAAAAAGCGGGGATTATGCAGAAATATGAATAACAGGAGGTGGGGTTTATTACATACCATCTTACATTATAACCACCCCCCCCCGCAGGAATAACAATGAAGGATAGTAGAACCACGGTTACAGATCTGAAGGCTTTAGCAAGTCTAGAGATTTACTTCTCTTTCATTTAAAAATCTGAATAGGCAGTGTAAGTTGGTATGACAGCTGCTTAATCATCAGGGGCCCATGCTCCTTCTATCTCATCGACCTGCCCTTCCCAACACGTGGCTTCTCATTGTGCAAGACAGCTGCCATAGTGCTTGCTGCATTCCAACGCCTCAGGTCCAACCCACATACTGTGGGCAGAATAATTGTACTAAAGCACAAATATGATTATCTCTCTTCTCTGGTCAAAACCTATCAGTGGCAGTTCTAGTCTACAAAAGAGTATCCCAAACCATTTGTACCATTAACCCCTATGCTCAAATGTACATACAGACATATGTACATTTATTAATTTTTTATTTATACACACCCACACTCAACCATACGTCTATAAAGGAAACATAAGCCCTACAAACTAGCATTTATCCTTGTTGCAGATCTTGTGCTCTGATAGTGTCTATTCCATTTCATTCACATCTAATTCATGAACTAGTTGGATGTGAGAAGGCACAACCTACAAGTGACTTGGCCCTGCCCACTCTTCCTTGCTGTCTGCAGTCTGCCCTCCTCACAGTCCCTGACGTTGGTGCCCACACACCTCCTCTCCTGACCACCGCAGCTTCCCCCACTCTGCCTTTCACCTTCCCAGCTCCCCTGTGCCCTGCAAGAATCAGCCCAGGTATGGCCATTCCCTCACCCCAGTCCTCTTTCTGTGTGCCCCATAGAACCCACGCCCCCCACCATCACAGCGGTTATGCTGATTTTAACCATCTGTTCACTTCTCTGTTTTCCCACTAAGCAATATATTCCTAAGAATGGGGTCTAGGGCTTTGGTTTTGTATCTCCAGTCCTCTCATGATGCCTGACATAAATGTTTGTAACATGAATAAGGAAATGAGTGAATGTTACAAAGATGTTCCTGACAGCAGTTATTGAAAATCTGTTGTATGTAGAGCATTGTGTTGGAAAGAATTATGAAAAAAAAAATATAGTGGGATTTGCTGGGGCTAAACAAAAAATAGGTATAAAATGACCTATATTTATAAATAAGAACTGTCTATATAGACAACTAAGTACTATCAAACGTCTCACTGACAGTAGATTTAAGGTCTCAGCACTTTCATCCCTCTTCTTAACAGTTTCACAACTTTCATCTCTTAGGTGAGAAACCTCAGACATCCCTCAGACACTGCTCTCCCAACCCTGGTCTGCTCTCCAACAGCGAAGCCTGGTGTGCAGCAAAAGAAGAGCTGTTCAAGTGAGTTTTGATCAAGTACCCCACATGACTAATCCAGGCCCACCAAAATAGCACCAGGGAGCCAAAGTGAGGTAATGCAGCAGGTGATGGGAGGGTAGTTAAGGACATGTCCTGCAGCTCTTCCAGCTGCCAGGGTGAACCAGAACGTTCAGGAATGCAGCAGAGGAGAGCAGAGTGAATCCCCAAACAGACTCAGTGTCTCACCTTCAGATACTACTTTGACCCCAGGAAGCCCAGTGTGCTGAGGGCAATTCTGCAACCCGATCTGATACATTAACAAATAGACCAAATTAAAAACAGAAGCAGATCATATTAAAAAGAATGAGATATTGTAAGGTAACAACTCAAGCTTTGGGCTTCACTGAAAATCCCAAGAGCACAATAGTGGCATCATAAATATCCTGACCCCCTCAAACTACTGCGTTCTCCCTCTAGTTAATAACACTAGCAACTGTTTATATTTGTTCTGAATTTTATACTCTGTGAGGTGTTTCATCTCATTTTATCCTCACAGCAGTCCTGTGAGATAGGTACAAGTATTAGCTTCCTTTTGTAGGCAAGGAAACAGATTTAGAGAGGTTAAACCATGGCCCATGGGTCACACAGCTTGTAAGTGAATAAAACTGTTTGGGTTTCTAATTTATCATAGTACCAATTTGTTACAATGGGATAACAATCAGAAACCTGGGTTCTAATCCCCAGGTGGCTAGCTACGCAGCTGTGTGATCTTGGACTAACCATTCAACCTTCCAGGCTTTCTTTCCTCATTTATAAAAACTGTACGCAATGATGCCACCCCTATCTGCCTCCCAGGGTGCTTAAGAGCACAATACAGTGGGTATTGTGGAACTGCTCTGTAACCCACGTGGTAATCCACAGATGTCAGATACTAGCAATCTTTCTAACAATAACCAGAGTAATAATTATTATAATCTTTTTACTTTGGCAGTAACTTTCATCACAACCGCTCAGTAATTTCTCAGCTTATTGTCATCTATAAAGCACCCCTGTGGGTACCATATCTCAAGGTGAATCAGCTACAGATCAGTGAAGGAGGGGGCTCTTCTTCCTGGCATAACTTCAGAGCAGGGATTCTCAGTGTTGTGTCCACTGGAATTCATTGAGGAGCTTTAGACAGACAGGTTGCCAAGCCCCACACTGACCAATTACCACTTTAATCTTGGGGCAGGGAAGGAACTGAGCATCAATTTTTTTTCTAAGTCTCCAAGTCTATTCTAATATGCAGATAAGATTGGAAACTACTGCTACTGAGACTATTTATCATCTTCATGGCTACTGAAAGGGATCTCAGTTTTAAAGGGACACAGCTTCTGGTTCTGTAAATATCCATCCCTTTGTTACAAAGATGGAAGTATGTAAGTCAAGAAGATCTGAGGTTTCTTGGGAAAGAAATCCAGGAGCTGAACACTGAGCTCAAACCATAATCATCCTAAAGAACCACCAACACATATACAGCAAGCCTATTGTGTTAGTCAGCTTTCCATGGCTGTGACAAAATATCTGATATAATCAAATTAAAAGGAGGAAAGGTTGTTTTGGGCTATGGTTTCAGGATTCCAGTTCATGCTTGCTGGGCCCTATTGCCTTGGGCCTGTGGCAGCACAATACATTATGATGGGAGCACATGTCAGAGTAGGCCTGTTCACCTCACCAGGGAAGCAAAGAGAGAAAGAGGAAAGGGCTGGGTTCCCAATATCCCCTTTAATGGCGCACCCCTGTGACCTGACATACTTCCACTAGAGCCTGCCTCCCAAAGTTCTACCACTTCCTAATAGTGCCACAGGCTGGTCACCAAGTTGTTAATACACAGGCCTTTAGGGGACATTTCAAGATCCATTTCTAAACTGCCACTGTTGGAGGGAAGCAAGGGTGGATAAGGCAGTAAACACAGCAGAGCATCCTGGTCAGAGAGTCTCTTCCCCATTGCTGTTCCTCCACCAAAATCCACTTCTCGAAAGCATTCCACCATACCTTCCCTATGCCAGAGTGAATAGAAAATTGTATACTTAAAAAAAAAAAAAAAAGATCTTGAAGGATAATACATAACCAACTAGTGGCCAATTCTACAATTTTCCCTACTGATAATAAGGAAATAATCACACAACATTTAATATTAATTCCTTCCTTTGAATTCCAATGTATTTGTACATTGTACATGTATAATGTTTCATTTTCAGGTTAACACAAATAAGCATAAATTTACCTTATAAATAAAAGTGTGATTTTTTTAATCCACACAAAAGTAGTTTCTAGTAAAAAGATTGGTTCAACTATTTATCTTAAATTCCCTAAAGAAGCCATTATCAGAGAAAAAAAACCAGTAAAATTCAAAGTATTGCTATCATTAGAGTTTGATTTTGTGTCTCCACCGGAGATAAAGTAGCATTTCCCCATCTATTAACCTTTGAATTTGCTTCTCATCCCCCAAATGAAGAAACAAAATAATAAAAGGATTTGACTTTGGGGGAAGTTCCCTTTGGAACTGGGAACCACCCAAATGAGATAGTCCCTTCTACTGATAGTTTAGAAGTGCTCTTGGGATGGGTTTCATTGTCTCATTTGATCACTTCTTTCACAAGACTGCAAATAATTTGGATTGGGGTAAACTCCTATTACAAGACCTAGAGGTCCTAGAGGTTTAAATAATGAGGAGGGTTGTCTCTCATCTGAGATTTTATAGTGCAGAGCAATAGCTTGGAGACAAATCCCTACACCTCTGGGATCCCACAAAAGTGGTAATTAGGCAACATTTCACTGTGATGCAGTGATTGGGCAAAAGATGGGACTGGACTACTCTCAGAGGTGTAGGGACAAAATTGGCTTCCTCCAGAGCTGACAGAAGAATTTGGAAACCTAAAAATATTTAAAGAAACTAAGGCCCCGAAGAGAGAATTTCCAGCTATTGAAATGAAATAGATGAAACATTTTCTAGGTTTGAAAAGAGATTTTTTTTTTAGTTGTAGATGTACACACTACCTTTATCTCTTTATTTTTATGTGGTACTAGGGATTGAGCCCAGTGCCTCGTGCATACTAGGCAAGTGCTCTATCACTGAGCCACAACCCTGGCCCAGAGATTTTTTTCTTAATGAAAAACTCAACAAAGTTCACCAGAGTTTGGGTAGAACATTTAAAAAAATAACAATAACAAGATCAGACGTATCATTTACCCGAGTAATCTAATTGAAGACTTCATCTTTTTCTTTATAATGTCTGAAGAAGAAGAATCTAAAAATAGACCCTACAGATAATGAACTCTTCTTTCTCCTGAGTTTGTTAGAACGCAACACCTTCATGACCCAGAGGACGCATTCCGTCTCACCACCTCTGAGACATAAATCCTGACAAGGTCTTCATAGTTTCTCCTCTGGCCTCTAATTACAATTCTGTAATTTATTCCTTAACAGGGCCTACATTTCATGTCCTTATATGAATGAGATGCAGTGTGTTCTGTGGTTAAGCCCTTGGACACCAGGCCCACCCAGCTGCCTGACCTTGGCAATGACTTCACCTCTTTGTGCCTTGGTTTCCTTGGCTGTAGGATGGGAGAAACCAAAGTACCAGCGCCTTTGGGTTGTCAGGAGAATTAGGCAGTTATTATCCAAAAAAGAAGTAGGGAAATTACGCAAAGCACAGTAAGAAGTCTATAAATGTTTGCTATTATTGCCACCACATTTCATGATTCTTTAGCACCTATAAAAATAGCTAGCATATTTTAAAGTTATAAAACAAGACACATGGTCTAATAAAAAATTATTTTCAGATTCATGGATTTATTTATGTGCAAAGTCTCAACAAGATATTTAGTTACACGTGTAAGGTATCATTTTTTAATTATATACCACCCTAAAATCTAAAAATTATTCCACAGCGTGGTCCCTGACCTCAAGCAGTTTGTATTCCACTTGAGAAACAGAGCATATGCCCATAAAATGTTAAACAAAAATCCAAAACACTTCATGATTACATATAAAGTGAGTAGTTCAGACCATAAGAGCTACGAAAATGCAGAGGAGAAGGAACTCTGAGGGAATCTGGCTTCATTGTGTACCTAAAGGTGATGAAGAAGTGCATTTGGACAATGAAATATAGGCAGGGAAAAGAAGGAGATTTTGCAGCAGGGAGGGAGATGTGAAGGGGATGGCGAAGAATGGAATCATTCATCTGGAGTGTGTAGTTTTCTGTTTAAAATTGGGTGAAATCCTTTGGTGAAGGAATTCCAGGCATAGGCCACACGGCTGAGAGCTTCCAATGCCTGACTGAAATAGTGTGACTTTGCCCTGGGAGTCCTCAGTTTTGCCTTCTGGAGTCTCAGCCATTACATCTGCCATTACATGGGCTTATCCTAAAGTTCATCTCTGCACTGCACTAGTGCCTTGATTACCTTAGTTCTCTCAGCAGCTGATCTTCTGCTCTTGCCCAATAATAAAGTATTGTTTAATGAATATATTGGAATGGGTGATACCTAAACAAAATTCTGCATCCTAGAAATGGGAGCTATAACCACTAATCAGCCACAGTGAAGAGGTAGCATTTGACCTAGGTATTGAAGGTCAAATTTTATTTACTTGTCAGGGAAACAAAAAGGGGTAGGGATTATAAACCAACAACAACAACAAAATATCAAGAACAAAGGCACGGGAGTGGGCAAATATATGGCCTTCTCAGAGAGCCACTACATCACAGGTTCAGGGTAAGACAGCCATGAAGGAGGAAGTTAGGGCCAGGATACAGTGCTAAGGATCTGGGCCTACCTGGACATAAATGAAGAGCCACGAAGGAATTTCTAGCAGGGGAGAGATGTGATCAGATCCGTGACTTGACTGGAGATTGATCAGGAGGAGATTGCTAGAGTCCAGACAATTATAATCAGTAATAGCTTTGTAGAGCCTAGCAGCCGTGAGATGAGGAAAACTAAGTCAGTTTCAGAATTTTGGAAATAGGATCCAGAGAATTTGGCAACCAGTTGAACATGGGAAG